CTTGGAGGAGAGACGAAACGTTTCATTAGAGAAGAACCCGTCCAGAGGACCTATACTATTTTTTTTCTTTTTGTGCTCTTTTTCATTTTCTATACATTGGTGTGTCGTTGGTTTGTGTTTAAACTGCATTTATTGTATTCTTACATACTATAAGCCAGGTGAGTCAAACTCATTTTCACTGAGGGACAGCAGGGACAGGAAAGCAGTGGCCCCCACAGGACCAGTTATAAATACAGTAACTTCATTTTTTTCATGTTCAACTTTGACTGAACACATTGCTGAGCTGCTAACAAACAATATCTGAGCTCTACAAGGTATTTCCTGCATAGAAACAGTGTTTTAACACATCCTCCTATAAACACTGAACAGTACTCGAGTACGACTGACTAAATGTGAAATAAATACAGAAATACTATTACAAGTAATAGTAAGAGAGTTTTACTCACTGTTGTGAGTTGTGGGGAGTAGCTGCCATCTTGAATTCTTTTGTTTGATCCCAAACACTCAGAATTGACAGAGGCTGAAAAGACGTCTGCTTGTTTTAGCAGTTTTGTGTCGATACTTACACTAGTTGTTAATCTGTGGTTTTACCCTGAGCTTGTTTTGTAACTTTGATCATGCTGATCTGAAATATAATTTTATTCGGCACATTAAGCGTAATAGTCCGTATAGTCCAAGGAGCTGAAATTCACATGTGCCTGATATTTATTGTGTTTTTGTAGGTGATCATCAAAGAACAGCTGCAGGAGACCAGTGGAATGTGTGAATATGCTATTTATGTTCAAGGTGAATAAATCATTTTTACTGGAATCTTTTTGTCTCACATGTGTCATGTTAATTAATCACTACATCCAACAAAATCTCAGTAACATCTGAGTCAAAAGCTCCACAGTTTGTCTACTCCCACTGTAAATGTGTTTGATTTTGAATGTCTTTTGTTTGTTTTTTTACTCAAATAGACAATGATGATCCTCTTTTTTCCCATGTATTTATTTCTTTCCAGCACTGATCTTACGTCTTGAAGGAAAGATCCAACAGTCCCTGGAGCTGTTTCAGAGCTGCGCCATCCTTAATCCAAACAGCAGTGACAACCTAAAGCAAGTGGCCCGGTCCCTGTGAGTCCACTAGAGTCAAGTCTGTTTGTTAAAGGAACAAAAACTCTGTTCCACTAAGAACTGAATTTAGGCCACCTCAGGTCACTTTAACTTGTCAAAGAGACATTCTCTTTTTCTTAATCAGATAAYAAACAGAAGAATCTTCTTATTATTTGATTTATTGTTCTCTTAACTGAAAGCATTTTGATAATCAGAGAATGTTTATCAAAGTTACAGGAGAAAGAGGACAGATCTCTTTGACAAGTTAAGGYGACCTGAGGGGGCCTAAATTCAGTTCTAAGTGGAACAGAGTTTTTGTCCCTTTAAAGGCCCATCAGAGGTCTGAGGTCCAAGACAGTTTCCTTAGTCCACTCGAGGTGACCCCTACACAAATGTGTCCTAAACACAACAAACCTGCTAACAAGTTCAGAACTCATATTTCATTGAGAAAATGAAAACAAGGGATTGTTTTTCATTATTAAATGCAGTAAAAATGGTCATTTAGCATTCCRAATGACATTGTGTCATTAAGATTAAATTTTAGTTGTTTTTGTTTTCAATTAAACTCATGGATGGTGTGTCTCAGGGCTCTTTGGATCACTGAAATCACTCTCAGACACCTGTGATTAGTTTGCCAGGTGGGCCCAATTTAAGGAAGAACTTCTGAAGAAGGGTGTTTCACATTATTAAGCAGACCACCATTTTCAAATAATATAAAGGGGAAAAAAAGGATCTCTGCTGCCAAAAAGCATGTAATAGTCGATGTCTCGGACAAGAAAACCTTAGATATTTCACAAAAACTTAAGCGTGATCATCATACTGTGAAGAGATCTGTGGCTGATTTAGAGCAGAGTCTGTGCAGATAAAGACACATCGAGGGGGATTTCTGTCAAATACACAGGAGAGCAACTGCTAAAATGCTATTACGAAGCAGCAAACAGATTTTTTAAAGCTGCAAGCTTCTTGAGTCCCGAGAACATCAAGGTGTAGGATCCTCCAGAGCCTTGCAGTTATGTTTAAACCTAACCAAGTAGAAACAGCTGCAGTGGGCCCAGAAATACATGAAGACTCATTTTCAAACAGTCTTGTTCAGTGATGAGGGCCGTGCAACCCTGGGTGGTCCAAATGGATGGTTAGTGGACGGCYACCATTAAGGCTGGGACATCAGCAAGAAGGGGGTGGAGTCACGAGGAGAAAGCTAGATGAATTTTTGAGCTTCTTGAAGGTGTGAAAATGACCTCTAAAATGTTTTTGGAGTTTCTAACTGACCGCTTTCTTCCTTGGTACAAAAGCTTCCTGTAACAAAATCATCTTCATGCTGCAAGGAATACCTCCACATCACTGGCTGCTGCGGGCACAGAAGGAGATAAACTCATGGTGTGGTGCCGCGACCTCAACCCTTATTGAGAACCTTGGAGCATAAAGCAAAGATTCAATTCAATTCAAAAATACTTTATTGATCTGAGGGTGGGAGGCAGTTCACATCCAAACAGCAGCTCTGGGAGGCTAATCTGACATCGTGCAAAGAAATTAAAGCAGAAACTCTCCTAAAACTCACCAGTYCAATGGATCCAATGTTGAAATGTAACTTGACCTGTTTATTTCTGTAAATTTGACCTCCAACTGCTGCARATTCAACAAATGACCATTTTCAGTTCTTTTGCAACCTATAAAATGTTCTGAAACTCTGTTGTGCGAAAAAATTGGAATTTAGTGCAAAACACTGTTATTGTGAAGTGTTTTCAACAACAAATTATACTCGAAAAGGTGATGAGTTGAAAATTATGCTGACTGTCATTTACATTCACTATGAAGGAACATCAGAGAAAAATATAATTTGCATAACACTGGAATGCAGTGTATTATTGGTTAAATGTTCATACTGATCGATATTTATTCTTTTCATAGATTTCTTCTGGGAAAGCACAAAGCAGCTATTGAAATTTATCACGAAGCTGCAAAACTCAACGAAAAAGACTGGGTAAAAGAAATGACACACACACACAGAGTTTGTGTTTGCCTTTAAAGTTCTAACAAAGTGTTTAGAGGCGCTGCCTGGCATCTTGAAGTGTAAAAACACAGCGTGAAGCTCTCTCAGCAAATCCTCGCAACATTCAGAACAGAAAATCATGAGTGAGACACTTTTTGCAACAACTGTTCATTGAAAAACGACTTTGTGACTCACTTCCAAACTACTACAGAGGTGTTTAAAAAAGTTTGATAAACTTATCTCGAGGATGCACTAAAAATCTAAATAATCCAAACACTCTTGCCACTGTTATCTTCTACCAAACTGGTGTCTAAAATAACATTTTCATTGATCGAAGCAAACTTTGTTTAAGCAGCTGGCACCAACAATCCATGTAAAATCTGACATTTCCTCACCCTAGGAGATCAGTCATAATCTGGGCGTGTGCTGTTACTTCATCAAAGACTTCAAAACCGTGAGTCTGCTGAACACCGTCTGATACAAATTGCTGTAAATGCCCGCGGCATTTTTCATTTTGATCTTTCTGTTTGTCAGGCTGAGGAGCATCTAAACACCGCTCTCCAGATAAATAAACACGACGCCACTTTCATGATGCTCGGGAAAGTTCATCTGCTGGCTGGAGACACAGACAGAGCCATTGAAGTGTACAAGAGAGCAGTGGAGTGAGTAGAGTCGATGTGTTAAACACTGAGCAGACRACAGGAGATGCTTTTATTATTCCAGGTGTTACAAACTACCACTGGTATTTTCAATTTGCATGTAATAAGCCTGTCACATGCTCCAGCCCATCACTTCTTTATTTGAAGTTCAGGAACTCCTACCAGCACCAGAAATGTCACTATTAGGACCGTCCTGATACCAGAGTTGGGTAGTAACTAGTAACATTTACTTGAGGAGTATTTCTACTATTCTGTACAATACTGTACTTTTTACTTTTACTTGAGTAATTTTATTGTGAAGTATCGCTGCTCTTACTTGAGTAGAGTTTCTGGATACTCTACCCACTGTGAGTAACTTCACTGAATGAAGAACAAACTTGTTTTCACCAAAAATTCAATGGACAGCTGCAGTTTTTGTTAGTTTGATAAATTTTATATTGAAAGAAACTGATTTGGAAAATGTTTCTTTTGCCTGAATTTATTATTTTGTATTTCTGTTATTTATATGAATTATTTTCATTTCATCTTTAAAATACCAAAATTACCACATAACTTTATATTTTGGTCCGTCTCATGATGTAATTTTGAAATATTAAATGACTGATGATTGATCATTTACTCAGTACTTGAGTAGCCTTTTACCAAATACTTTTTTTACTCTTGAGTCATTTTTGGATGGCTACTTTTTACTTTTAACTGAGTAAAAATATGTTGAAGTAGTGCTAATTTTACTTGAGTACAATTCCTCAGCCTGATACTATTTTTTATTTTTCTAGACCAAGTACAAGTACTGAGAAGTATTGAGTATTCTGCTCTTCATACTGTCCAAGGTCCTGAAACATTCCAGCACTTCCAGGACCTTGGACAGTTCCTTCAGCCCTTGACACTGTCTAAAACAGTGATTCCCAACCAGGGGTACACAAGCATATTACAGGGGGTACCTGGCAACATTTCCCAGGTGTTTAAATAAATAAAGATAGGACTGAGATATGTTGGGCCTTATGATTTCCGTAATGTGAAAATTGCAGATGGAATCGTGGAATTAACACAAAATGCAATCCAGTATAAAATGTGGAATCTCATGAAAGTAGCTCATTTGGGTGAGTTTCTGACATATTTTGGATAGTACAGTGTATTTTGGATGCTGCAGTTCTGCTGCTGCTGTTTTGTTCTAAACTGGTTTGAAAATAAAGTGTCTACATATGACTGGGCCTGGACCCCACTGTTTGCCCATCCTAACCACGCCTCTAGTTGCCTCACTCAAAGCTCCATCCTTTACCACTTTTTTAACCCAGCGTCCTTTTCTTCCCCCTTAAAAATTTGGCTCATTTTCACTTTGCTGAATCTTTAAACATGAGGCCATGGTGTAAATAAGAGAATCACATGAGTGCCTGTAATAGAGCTCATTATGTGTACCTCCTGTTGGGGGCAAATGAATTAATCAAATGCCCCGATTCTTGTGTCACTTTTAATGAGACTTACCACTGTGAGTGCTATTTTAGTGTCAATCTGCCTCCTCGCTGCTATTTCTCTTCAGGCCACAGAGGTCATAATTAATACTCTGCAATTATACTGAAATAATGCCTGATGGAATAATCAGCAGATCCTCTGAATGTCAGCCATGTAGGTTGGCAGAGGAAAAAGAGCAGCCATCAGATGTAATTACAAGCAGGCTGTGGAAGAAGAGTGACATTTTTTCATTCATCTTTTCTCATTTTGAACCCAGATTCTCTCCAGAGAACACTGAACTCCTGACCACGCTCGGCCTCCTTTATTTACAGGTTAGTAGAACTGTTCAGAGCCTTCTGTGTGAGAAATAAGAAGCCCAGTGCTCTTGTTATTAGTTTTTATATAATTATTTGTGTTTTTTAATTATTTAATAGCTTGGGAAATACCAGAAAGCGTTCGAGCACCTTGGGAACGCTCTCACCTTCGACCCCAACAATTATAAGGTACTCAGCTGCCAGCTCATCGTTACACTTTAGTTTAAACACTKTTCTCCTCAACACCTGAAGCCATTCAGTCAAAGCAGGAGGTGACTCACCCGCAGATGTTCGAGTCTGACTTTGTCAAGAGCTGTTTCAAAGGTTACCTCTTCCTTTTATTCTCTAATCACTGTTGTTGTTTTTATTCTCAGGCCATCCTGGCTGCAGGCAGCATGATGCAAACCCACGGTGACTTTGATGTGGCCATGAACAAGTACAGAGTGGCTGCCTGCGCTGTTCCTGAGAGCCCCCCTCTCTGGAACAACATCGGCATGTGCTTCTTCGGCAAAAAGAAATACGTAGCCGTGAGTYGTGGTGTTTTTGTTGATATTTTTCAAGGTTGTATCAGTCTGTTGTGGTGAAGAGGAGCTGTGAGATAAAGCTCTCTGTTTACCAATCGGTCCACGTTCCTACCCTCACCTATGGCCACAGACTTTGGGTAGTGACCAAAAGAACAGGATCTCAGATATACTGTAGGCGTCTAGATGAGTTTTCTCTGCAGGGTAGCTGGACTCTCCMTTAGAGATAGGATGAGTTCAGTTATCTGGGAGAGACTCAGAGTAGAKTTGCTGCTCCTCTATATCAAGACAAGCCAGTTAAGGTGGTTCAGATGTCTGGTAAGGAGGATACCTCCTGGACTCCTCAGGGCTTTGTTTTCGTCTGACTGGGAGGAGACCCCAAGGAAGACCCAGGTCACGCTGGAGAGAGTCTCTCAGCTGGCCTGGGAATGTCTTGGAATCCTCCAAGATGAGCTGGAAGAGGTGGTTGGACATGGCTGCCCCCATGACCTGACTCATAACCAGAAGAGGATGGATGGATGGATGGATGGATGGATGGATGATATACAATCATGAAAGTATATATAACAAGTGGAGTGCTCAGAAACCACGTGACCGTGTGATTTGCTGCAGAAGCTAAGGGCTAACGCTAAACGGTCAAGAGTCTAGATTTCCCATAACTGTACATGTTGACAACAGAACAGAAAAAAAGGACTGACCATGTAGAAATCATAAAAACTATTAATAATAACATAAACAAGATTATTATTATTTTACAGTTTATATAATCTTTCTAAAGTTTTAAATAATGCGAGAACAGCTGTGTGTGTTATGGATTTATTAACAGAAGATAAACAGGAAAACGTCTCATTTCACAACACAAGTCAGCAGATTTGATCTTATTTAGCTCAGTGTGATCTGAGCAGAACATAATGTAACAGTT